TTCAAATTGATATTTCAATGAGGTAAACCAGGCATGACGTATTTAATTTATTAAGAAAAATTTAAGTAAATCATTGGCTCGAGAGCATGGTGACAGATGTAGGTTTCTTTGATCCGGGAATATCATATCTGTAAATCAAAATTGATCCTCAGCAACCCATTCTTGTCGTAAGAGGCGACTAACGGGATCCTGGTCAGGCCCCGTGACTCGGTTGATGCATTTCATCGTATCCCAATTTCGTAGATCTTTGCTCGAGATGTCAATCACTTGGTTGTCTGGTCCAGACTCGATTATTAACACACAGCCGTTCGGCGTTAAACAACGAACAAAACAACTAAACATATCTGTAAATATCCATTAGGCAGGGCTTTAATGTTTCTTTGGAAATATCATTCATGTGGGATATTTTAGATACCTTGCTGGCCGCATTATAACACGCCTAAAATTTGGAAAACAATTTTTATGTGTTGTATCGAAGGTTAAAATTATGGTCTATTCCACAGCACTTGAATTGAGCGCAAAACCTCGATCAGGTTTGTTAATTGAATGTTCACAAATTAAATGTTATGCAGGAATTTGAGTGTGCTCGCATTGAGGTATAATGCCACGATTGACGTTGTATACGACATATGTGGCAGTGCATATGCTGCAACTGACATAAATAGTGTGCATGCTGAACAGGTTAATGCACTACAATATACAGCAACTGACGTGAATCAAGTGCCTGAGGCGTGATGTGAATCAAGTGCCTGGGGCGTGATGTGACGTGGCCGTGGGAAGAACATGGTGGAGGAGGAGGAACAGCGGTAGTTTCGTTTGTCAGGTGTACATGTGTTTATGAAACTTTTCAAGGATACCTCATTCCTTAGTCCAAAGGCTTTATTCCTGGGGGCACTATCCCCACCGCCGACGACTTTGTGGCGGCTGTAGCACGGACACAGGGGTTTGAATATGTTTGAGATAACCTCGCGGCATGATGGTTGGTTGGTTAGTTTGTTGTTTAACGCCGCATTCAGCAATATTCCATTGGAGCTATATGACGGCGGTCTGTAAATAATCGAGTCTGGATCAGACAAGCCGGTGATTAATTTCATGAGCATCGATCCACGCAATTGGGATCGATGACATGCATCAACCAAGTCAGCGAGCCTGACCACCCGATCCCGTTATTCGCTTCTAACGACGTGCAATGGCGTGATTCGATGCTCATGATGTCAATCATTGGAATGTCTGTGGTTTGATGCTCATGATGTCAATCACTGGATTGTCTTGTCCAGACTCGAGAATTTACACACCGCCGTCATATAGCTGGAAAGTCGCTGAGTGCGGCGTTAAACAACAAATAAACAAATGTTATCGGATCTAATCACACCAGGAGAGATAAAAAAAAAGAATCTGGCCCGGGTGGTACACCTTCAGATTTATTATCCCATCCTTTGAGATTTTATTCGATCTGGACAAAGGTGAATTTGCTGATTCGTGGAATATCGGTATGATTCTTCCTCTTTTCAAGAAAGGTGATATTGCAGATCCAAATAATTACCGTGGAATTTCACTTCTAAATGTAATGGGTAAACTGTTCACGTCTATTGTAGAATTACGATTAGGGTTAGATACAATTTTATTCGCGAGGTTTTAGAAATAATAACTCCACTGCTGACATATTTTTGTTTTACAATCTTTGTGTCAAAAATATATTCGTTAGCCTAGACACAGGTTTCATGCTTTGATATCGTAGACAGACAGTTTTTGTATATATTGCATAATAAGGGTGTTGTTGGGAAATTATATAATCCTCTTCAAAATAGTTATAGTAATGTTGCAGCTTATATTTATATGAACAAGTGTAAAACAGAAACATTTACAACATCCTGTGTCCGTCAAGGTTGCATGTTAGGTCCAGTTCTTTTCTATCTCTTCAGAAATTAATAAGATTTGGGGTTTAGAAATTGTAGTTTAAGAGGAGTCTTTGTAACAGAGGAAACTTAAGATAGTTTTGTCCGTTTTGTTCTATTGTTCGCTGCGGGATCGGGTGGTCAGACTCGCTGATTTGGTTGATGCAGGTCATCGATCCCAATTGCGTGGATCGATGATCATGATATCAGACAATGGATTGTCTGGTCCAGACTCAATTATTTACAGACCGCCGTCATATAGCTGGAATATTGCTGAGTGTGTCGTTAAACAACAAACCATGTGAACATGTTGCCATAGTATACCTGGCCATTCCCACGGGCTTGAACTCAACAAACATTTCTGATTCTGTATAATAATATTAGCACCTTGTGAAGGGAAGGAAATTCAGGACCGTCAATGTTAATCTGCTTCGAAATGTTTAATTAAGCTGTAGTTTTCCTTGTCAACCCCAACATTTTGCAAGCCGGCTTACCATTGACGGTTTTGAATTTTCCCTCCCTTCACTATGGCTATAATAAAAAATAGTGGATCTAAATATTAGCACAAGCAGAAACGTTTGCTGAGGTCAAGCCCGTGTAGCGCCGTAATTTCCCACCACCTTTTTCTTCTTTATCTCGGCGTCGAAGCTTAGGGTTGAGATTAAATGTTTGTTTTGAAATAAATACGAGGTAAGGTGACCACAGATGAACCTGATGCAAGTACCCAAAGGACCAAGATGGCGGGTGTCACTCCTTTTCTATATGTATACTGAGGGGTGTGATTTTTTTCTATACGAATATATTATGCTAAACACACTATCGTCGAGTTCCTGTGTGCCTAAACTGGCAAACGTATTCCTCAAAGAAAGTTTGTGGAGATTTGACAATTTTAGGAAGTTATAAAATGTTGCATGAAGCTGTTTTATAGCCAAAAGGGGGAAAGAATGGCTCGTTACAGTGACGGAAATCATGTCTTAACTAAATAACAGAAATATTTCTAACGTTTAAAATAAAACTTGGAAAGATCGCATTTTTTAGACCCTATACATAAAATGAAAATCGTTTACGTGTGAACTTGTTTGAAACGAATAGGAATTACATACCGATAGCCATATCAACAACCATGACAAGACCCTGTCTGAGTAACGAAATAATTGGAAATACTGCATTCCCAGCATATATGCTATCGGACAATTTTGTACAGTGGTATCGATCGAAATAAATCGGAAACAATTAGTATTTGTGCATTTACATATAAATCCAATATTTCACATGCCAGTTCACGGTAGGAGGACCATCGATAATGAAATCAACCCTGTCTCAAACTGCATTTTGGAAACGTTGAATATACGTTTGATTCAGGATTCGACATATTGAAGGCACTTCCTGTTGATTACATTCTGTACTTAAAAACTGTCACAGAATTATAATTTTATCATCGGTATAATTCACTGGGCGGAAGAAACAATGAGGTTCATGCATAAACAGAGAGAAATCAAGAGAATTATAATTAAATAGGAATACATGCTACGGTTTTTACATGGTTTTGTACTGAGTGATCCGAATGTGACATCTAGTGTGTGCTAATATGTAAATATAACATGACTACATCAGAAAACAACCATCCTTGATTATGCGCCGAAAGAGTATCAATAAAATTTGCAGCGAAAATTAAATGAATGGATTAATCTGTTTGTGTATTTGTTGCGGTGCGTAGATAATCGAGTCTGGACCGTAAAGGCGACTAACGGGATCGGGTGGTCAGGCTCGCTGACTTGGTGGATGCACTTTTCGTCATAATTAATTCGTTATGGTGTCTTAAGTTGCCGTATACGGTGTTAGCAGAAAATATTCCAAAAGTTCCAAATGCATAACTATTGAAGTCAAAATTCAACCTATGACCAACCTTTGCACATATCAAACTGTAACATATTTATCAGCGGTATTCTCAACATGCTACGTGTTTCCTGTCCTCAATCTTTATTTTCGACCGCAAAGCCCTCTGAATCTGGGGATGAACAATCCGCGTGCAGAGTTGTGTCCCTTGGACACGCCAGAAATTCATTATCGTTGGTTCGAATCTGGGTCTGTCAGTACTAAACCCGTGCTCGTGGGTTTATCAAAGTCGTTGACGTCTGAGACCTGCATCACTTCAGGCTTTCCTCCCATATTAAGCTGACACGTCGTGATATAACTGGAATACTGCCCATAACGGCGTTAAATTCAAACTCACTCGCTCACTGAGAATGGGAACGTTACACAATGTAATAAAGAAGGCCATATATGGGCCTGAATCAAGATGGCAAAGTGATGAATCTGGAACAGATAGTGTTCCACTCATCGTTATTTCTCTGACTCAAACAGCAACAAGAAAATATTTTTGCACAACACCTAAACAGGGAACTGAAATAAATCGCATCACTATATACAAATAGGAGGTAAAACTTATTCGTTTTTATTTATACGTCAGAGGTTTCCAACGTACACTTTCGATTTGCCTTCTGTTTGGGTTTGAGAAGAAAAGCTGTCAAATGAATAAATTCCGTTGGTGAGAATGACGTATCATTTGCAAACTTATGGTCCAATAATTCTATACTGCTGTCCGACATAACATTTCCAGGTTGAATAAATCCTATCGTCCACATGAGTAAAGTTTGCGTAAAATAACAACCCTTCTAATTTCACATATCATGGTATCAACGTGTGCTATCAATTAGCTATATTATACTTGTTATGTTTCTGACATATCATTATGTCAAGATTGTTAAAATAGGTCTTCAGCACCCATGCTTGTCGTAAGTGGTGACTAACGGGATCGGGTGGTCAGACTTGCTGACTTGGTTGATGCATGTCATCGTATCCCAATTGCGTGGATCGATGCTCATGATATTAATCAATGGAATGCCAGGACCGCCGTCATATAGCTGGAATATTGCTGAGTGCGGCGTTAAACCAACAAATCTTACTTTGTTATATATCCGATGTTATATACTGTTATTTTATGTTATAAATGTTATGCATCAGATATATTACACGAGCTACTGTCAGGACCCGTGTAGCCTGCGATAACAGGATAGTGAACAGCATAGGTCAGATAACCACGGCCACGGGATGTTCAGGCCAAACCACACGACCCCTGATTCATGGTCAGGCGTCTCACGCCATACTGACCTACTGTGTATGTGGATCACAATCAGATGCAAACAGAGTCATGTCAAAACTGTAAGTGCATAATTCATTTATCATCGGTAAGAGTGAGTGAGAGAGTGAGTTAGGTTTAACGCCGCTTTTAACATTATTCAAGTTATATCACGGCGTGTCAGCTTAATCTGGGAGGATGCAGGTCTCAGACGTTTACCACTTCGGTGAAACAAACCTAGAAATTGGGTCGAACCGGGATTCGAACCCACAATCATAGGTTTCTGGCGTGCCCAAGGGACGCAACTCTGCACAGCGAATCGCGGCGCCTTAGACGACTGGGCCACCCGTGCCCCCATCATCGGTAAGAACCGAACCTAAATGAAGCTCTAGATCTTTCGGTATTGTTTGCGTGGTTTTCCAAAGTGAGAAAGGAACGACTTTCACACCCTTTTAGAATTTATGATAATTAAACATGCATGCTAATACAAGTTATTTTCAATTCTTATTTAATTTGCCAGTGTGATGTATCTAATAGATTGCCTTCAGCGACCTATTCAGCTCCGGGCTTAAAGATATGATTCTGTTAAAAATCAATGTTGGTGTTTTTCGTATTGGTCACATGAGACAATTAAAAGCAGGGAAACTCACCAGAGGTGTAACTTAAACTTTGCAGATCTGTGGAATCAGTTTTCATAACTGGAACCAGCAAGGGGGTCGGTCTTGGCCTTGTGAAGGGCTTTCTGGAACTTCCCAACCCGCCAAAATACGTGTTTGCGTCCTGCATCGACCCTGACAACGACGAGGCCACAGAGTTGAGAGATGTGGCTTCACAGAATCCTAGCGTCACGTTGGTGAAGCTGGATGTGCGATCTGACGCTGAAATCGCCAACGCCGTGACGACAGTGCAACGTGTCCTGGGACAGAGAGGGTTAAATCTGCTTATTAACAACGCAGCCATCAACTCTCAGGTGTATGGACTTGAGTCATTGACAAGGGATGATATCATGAGTCACTGTGACTGCAACGTGGCAGGTAACTATCAGTTTATTATCTCATATAAGATAGCTACGCGACAAATCGCAAAGAACAATGAAGAAAGAAGCGTGGTTTATTTCAAGATAAAACATTGTTCTATCAAGATATCATTTACGGAAATTCAAACATGCGCTCGCAACTTGATGACGTCGTAAATTTGAGGTCGTTATTTTTTAGAGGGAATTGTCCAGTGACATGTTCCCCATAATATAGGTGTTGCTGGGCAATGTAGAAAAAAGCAATGGACGAACGATCCAACCAAAAAGTGGGAGAGATATGAATATCTATATTTGGAGAAAAAGTGCAGATAATCGACGTGGAAATTGTGAGAATACCAAACCTCACCCCCCTGTACATAAAATGGACTTGTCCGACATTACCGCGGTTGTATTCAGGTAGTCATCATTATTTTCTTACGGGTAAATGGTTTTAAATCTTGTACAATTTATTGCTATCAGTAAGGCTGTACAAAATGTTGATATCTCACGTAAGAAATAAAGGACTCGTGGTCGTTGCTTATCGTACAATAATACACTGCAGGGAGAATAAACCTCTTGGGGCTGCGCCCTTCATGGTATGATATGAATCACTGGATTGTCTGGTCCAGACTCGATTATTTACAGACCGCCGTCATATAGCTGGAATATTGCTGAGTGCGGCGTTAAACAACAAACCAAACCAACCAAATCATTGTACGGTAAACAACCCCCACTCGTCGTTTATTTCTTAAATATTTCAAACAAAATAATTTAAAATACTTAAAGAAGGATTGTGAGCCACGGTCTTGGTCCAGTTTCTGTCTTGACGCTGTAATTAGTGACTTGCCTTAGGATTTATGACATCATGAAACATGGACGACGTCATTTTCAATGAGGTCACGTTGCTTTTGACCACTGCGCAGACAATGAAAACAATTGGAAGAAACTAGCAAATCAGCATAAAGCCAAAATTGTAGTGCTCATTGAGAATTACAGAAAATAAGTTCACCAATATCTGTGCTGCTATGTGCAATATTAACAGCTTGATTGAAATAGAAATTAAAATTTAGTTTAGTTAAAACAAGCATGTTTGAATGGCATGAATCGAACTTGCTAGGACGGCCTGGTGACTTTAGCCATATTCCTCATTAATTGTATGCGGATATTCTTTCCACATAAATGAAGTTATCCCCATGTATTAAATACAAGCTTGGGGTTTTTAGGAGGTGATCAGGCTGGTATTGCCCAGGCTGAAAATAGGCACACGAGTATGGATATGTTACAATATATAAAGTAAAGGGGGAAAACAACTATACCTCTCAAATGAATTTATCATATGTTTGAGACCCGTGAAGATTCCGGGGTAGAATAGGTCTTCAGCAACCCATACTTGCCGTAAAAGGCGACTATGCTTGTCGTATAAGGCGACTAACGGGACCGGGTGGTCAGGCTCGCTGACTTGGTTGATACATGTCATCGATCCCAATTGCGTGGATCGATGCTCATGATGTCAATCACTGGATTGTCTGGTCCAGACTAGATTATTTACAGACCGCCGTCATAGAGCTGGAATATTGCTGAGTGCGGCGTTAAACAACAAACAAACAAACAAACAAACAAACATCATTTTTGATGTTCAATTGAAAATATCTTAAGTTAGCGATAGTATATCCAAAACATGAACGGTACTGGCGCTTAGTCAACACTCAAAAAATACTTCTATCTGGTTATATTTAAAAGATATATAAATTGATTATCAAATTTGAAAAAAGAAATCGCATAATACGCAAGTGCTGATGTGTATATTTGACATGTTATCTTTTGAAATCGATAAACTTGCAACATTTCAAACTGGGGTAATTTGGTTGCAAATTCATTTCTTACCACAGTCGCCATTGAACCAAAATAATGTTTTCACGAAATTACCCAGCCACAGATTAATTTTTACAAACTGGCCGAAATGAGTGATGGTTAAACTGACAATCACATTTTACAACACTTCTTTCAATGTTCACTTACTTAAAAATAAACTCATTATTCTTTTGTCCCTCAGTTAGTAAAGGATGTGTTGCTATTTTCAAATTCTGTTAAATATATAATCAAATATGCCGATGTTTATAAATAATTAAGGATGAATTAGTAACGGGATATATCACTGACTGTGTTGGTGTGTTTTGGTACGTTTTGTTATTGTTGTTGAGTGTACACTGAGAAATATCGTCGCTTGGAATAACTCATCTAACCCTAATGAATTTCTGGATATTCCACGATAACATACAATAATAAGACCATGCACTTTTAATCATTCACATGTGCACAAACAGTGAACGTTTAATCATAACATGATTGACATGGCTGACAACGGGTGTGTTACCCCAAACCCGTTGGACGTGGATCATAATATCAATCACTGGTTTGTTGATTATTTACATGCTTCCGTCTAATCCCTAAACAAGCAAACAAACAAACACACGCAGTTGTTGTTAATGTAGTGTGACTTGTGCAAAGGGTGACAAGACCCTTGTCATGTACACATGGAAATAAGTATCGCAGCACCCATATATTTTTACCCTCATTTGCAGTTGGATATTGATACATTTATGACCTCTGTTTGAAGGACTAGTTTGACATTTTCTACATATCCTACATTATAGTCAGACTTGCACGAGACATAATTATAGGACTGGAGCAATACGTCTACCCCTCATGTGGTAAAAATCAAGTTTGATTATACCGCCATTTTAGTTTGACAAGTTAAAAACACATTTTATGTCAGTGTTAATAATCCACGATTGACGCGGTTGACATTGGCATTAAAATAGAAACACAGTGAAATGTGGAATGCCGGTACATCTCTCCGAGCGATAGCAAGAAATGTCGTCATTATCCATCCACTATTAGCCAATTGGTCAGGAAACACCAGCAAACTACTGACACCAGGGACCGTCAGCGCTGAAGGCCACCTCGTGTGACATAAATTGTGTCTACTTTGTCATCCGTAAACTTCTAAGTAATGTCTATCAAACAATTCACGTGTAACAAATCGAAGGAAAGACGCAGGTCTTCTGAGACTAACAAGACGTCATCCGTTCACATCAAACTGCGAGTTGAAACGACAGTGGTCTCAGTGGTCTCCTGTCTGACAAAACGGTGCGAAATCGGCTCAAATCAGCCGGATATTAAGCCAGACGTCATTGTGTCAGATGTCAATTGTTTTCACATGATCATAAGGCTGCACGACTGGCATGGTATCAAGCACGACGTCACTGGAAGCTGAGAACATGGGGACAGATTCACTGATCGGACGCGAGTCCACATCGACAGCAATAGTCCAAAACGGTTTAACGCCGCTTTTAACAGTATTCCAGTTATATCACGGCGTGTCAGGTTAATGTGGGAGGAAAGCCCGAAGTGATGCAGGTCTCAGACGTTTACCACTTCGGTGAAACCCACGAGCACGGGTATGGTGCTGACAAACCTAGAAACATGATTGGGGAGAACCGGGATTCGAACCCACAATCATAGGTTTCTGGCGTGCCCAAGGGACGCAACTCCGCGCCTTAGATGGCTGGGCCACCCGTGTCCCCTTCGCCCAAAGTAGCTTGGGAACAGATATCTCAGGGCATGAAGAGATCGTCACCGAAATCCCAGTCACCTGACATGGTTGCTGGAATGGATGCAGTGAAACATTTCCACCTGTTATATACCCCGGCGCATTTGTATGATATTAGGTTTAAGCGGGATGAACTCATCCGAATCGCCAATGTTTGCACGGCTGGTGTGGCCCTCGGCAAAAGTTCGGCGAGTCTTCGGAGTTTACGCCTTAATAGAAGTGTGCCACGACATGTTTCAGGTGTTGCAGTTATTTTCTCCCAGGTGAATTCATCATTCATTTTTTCATTTTTTCATGAAACTCTGATGCTTTATCACTGCCGCATTTGTTTTAAGGTCCGCTTCTCGTATCACAAGCAATGCTTCCCTTGTTGAGAAAAGCATCCAAACAAAACGAAACGCATCCTCTGGGATGTAACAGGGCAGCCATTGTCAACGTGTCAACAGGCCTCATCAAGCCCCAGTTCTGGGCATCAGAAGAACGTCGTTATTCCTACGCCCTGACCAAAACAGCCACAGCCATTGCAACCGTCATGATGTCCAGGGAACTGTCACCCGATGGCATCCTCGTGGCGGGCATGTGTCCTGGGTGGGTGAAGACTGATATGGGGGGACCTGAGGCTTGCACCACGGTAGAGGAAAGTGCGAAATCATGTTTGGATAGACTGGGTATATTAGGTGTTGAACACTGTGGTATAATTCTTCTAGAGAGTAATGCCTTTACCATGTAATTTGTCATTTGTAGGAGTTCTTTAAACAATTATTAATAAAGTTTATTATTCTATTCTGCTTTCTGTGTTTTTTACGAGTATTAACAACTCGTGAATTAGGGTAAATATCAATAGTACTGAAAGCATTTCGATTGTTTTGTACAGCTATTATTCACGTTACTTATGGTTGGTTTTCAAGCTCTTGTGTAAGTGTTAACAGTGATAAAAATGATTCAAAATTCAGTATTATTGAGTTTCTCTTTTTTGGTCATCTTTGACGTCAGACTTGCAGCTTTTGAAATGTATAGATTTATGAGTCCTTACGCTGTACTGAAAAAGTTCTGTTGTGGCATCATTTGCATGTGGCCTGCAACCTCGGAGTATCGCGGTACCTGTCATGTACGCTGAACGGAACAAAATGCACTCAACTCACTACCCTTTATGATTACCGGTATTCGTGTTCTCTATATCAGATGTCATTTATTTTATCTAACAATGCATATTTTACTGATAAAAATTCATTATTTACATTAGTAGTTCCGAGTAAAAGCCGGCCTCACGCTCTGTTTGACAAGGGAGAGAACTCCATCATATCGCGGTACAGAAAAAACTTTGTATGGAGGTCCAAATTGGACAAAAAGAGGGCATAATTCTACCAACAATACCATTCAGATGACATGTGCCTACTGCGGGCAACTTCTGACAATGTCAGATAAGGAAACTAACGAAGAGTTAGGAAACAATGACAGTTTGGATGTTTTGGACTTTCTTTTTAATTCTAAATGATGATTGCAAGATGGTGTCCTTTTGTTTTATAATTTGTGCATTTATTTGGAAGAAAATCAAGAATTGGCATTAAATATAACGAATAGTTAAACTGTGGGATAATTCTTCTAGAGAATAATGCCTTTACCATGTAATTTGTCATTTGTAGGAGTTCTTTAAAAAATTATTTAATAAAGTTTATTATTCTATTCTGCTTTCTGTGTTTTTTACGAGTATTAACAACTCGTGAATTAGGGTAAATATCAATAGTACTGAAAGCATTTCGATTGTTTTGTACAGCTATTATTCACGTTACTTATGGTTGGTTTTCAAGCTCTTGAGTAAGTGTTAACAGTGATAAAAATGATTCAAAATTCAGTATTATTGAGTTTCTCTTTTACTCATCTTTGACGTCAGACTTGCAGCTTTTGAAATGTATAGATTTATGAGTCCTTACGCTGTACTGAAAAAGTTCTGTTGTGGCATCATTTGCATGTGGCCTGCAACCTCGGAGTATCGCGGTACCTGTCATGTACGCTGAACGGAACAAAATGCACTCAACTCACTACCCTTTATGATTACCGGTATTCGTGTTCTCTATATCAGATGTCATTTATTTTATCTAACAATGCATATTTTACTGATACAAATTCATTATTTACATTAGTAGCTCCGAGTAAAAGCCGGCCTCACGCTCTGTTTGACAAGGGAGAGAACTCCATCATATCGCGGTACAGAAAAAACTTTGTATGGAGGTCCAAATTGGACAAAAAGAGGGCATAATTCTACCAACAATACCATTCAGATGACATGTGCCTACTGCGGGCAACTTCTGACAATGTCAGATAAGGAAACTAACGAAGAGTTAGGAAACAATGACAGTTTGGATGTTTTGGACTTTCTTTTTAATTCTAAATGATGATTGCAAGATGGTGTCTTTTTGTTTTATAATTTGTGCATTTATTTGGAAGAAAATCAAGAATTGGCATTAAATATAACGAATTGTTTAAACTTCTGAACATCCTAGCTGTCATTGTAAATGAGCATAGAACAGAAGAGGTGATGAAGTCTGAATGACTAATGCTTGGGTGGTGATAGGATTGGAGGGGTTGGACAAGGCTGATTCTGAACCAAAGCTAATTTCGGGCCGGTGCTGGGCCGATAATTATTTTCGACGTCAGCCCGATGTTACGAAGAGGCGAAACTTCACCGGCCCGAAGATGTTCGCCGACAGTGATCTGATGATGTAACGGACACTGGACCGATGTTGGCACGATGTAAGTGTGCTAGCTGGGATGATACCTGGCGTTCGCGAAAAGGCAAGCGTATCCTGCCCTACTAGAACCGGTGGCAACCGTCACAAACATACAAAGGCAGGCCAAGTGTTCATCTGAAAATAAACACACGAACACATGGTACAAGTCAAAATAGAAAATTATTTCGGAATGTATTAGAGTATATACTTAAATGACTCAAGGCCATCCATAGTCAATATAAAGGCGAAAATGCAGAATAATACAATAGTTCAATGAGAGTTGCATCCCTTTGGAACGCCAGGAACCTGTGATCGTGGGATCGAATTCCAGTTCGCCATGATTTTGTTCCTAGGTCTGTCAGCACCATACCCGTGCTCGTGGGTTTCACCAAAGTGGCAAACGTCTGAGTCCTGCTTTTCGGGCTTTTCTCTCACATTTTACGTTGGCACGCCGTGATACAACTGGAATACTGTTCAAACCGGCGTTAAACCAAACTCACGCTCTCACTTGAGGAGAAAAAAACAAAACACAAGAGACTATCACCTCAGCATCACAACGTGATCAGTCTGTTAAACATATTGAGATTATCTTGGAAAACTATACAGGCTGACTGTACAACAGGACAAATGTTCAGGAAACTTTTATATCAAAATCAAAAGAAAAGATTGACTGAAAACATTTAAATTGATTAAACAAATACCTGGACACATTCTAGAGTACGATGACGGATATAGTTTGAGATGATCCCGAAAATCAATCATCATCTCAAGCTTGCACCGGCGAGAACAGGTGTCAGGTTATTGTACTTTATGATAATAATGTAAATGATGTAAACATACATTTTATGAACTAATACTTTTTGAAAGTAGGTGGATTTCATACGTGATGTTGATCAGATTTCACTTATTCTGACATAAACTGAAGAGCGAAAGAAAGTTTTCGTGTTTTGTTGTTTGTCATTGATAACTGTTCAGTTTGAGGTTTTGTCTGTTTAACCGTCAATTATTCCAGCAAGAGTTTGTAAAAAGAAATCTGTAGCTGGGTAATGTTGTGTCAAAATAAAGTGGTTCAATGACGACTGGGGTAAGAAATGAGTTTGCAACCACATGACCGTAGCCCATGTTTGAAATGTTGTAAATATTTGTCGAGAAAGATTATTTAGTTTCAAAGATAACATGTCTGAGAAACCCATATGCAGTTACATGTACGTATTATGCGAACATTTTTTTTAATTTAAAAAAAAACTCTATAAAAGGTTTAATATAACCATGTAAAACCATGTAAAAGTGTTCTTTGAAAGCTGACTGATCCGAGTGCGGTTCATTTTGTGGACATACCATTGCTAACTTCAAGATATTTTCAACTGAATATCAGACATATCACAAAATCTACTTAGAGGTATAGTATTTGCTTCTCGATTAATGTTAGTTCCATCGACCTCTAAGTTGTTGTTGTCAAATAAATTCCCATGTCAATATGGCATCAACACGAGAATGATATGTCGACGAGAATACGAACTTTGAGTCTTCTAGTGGAGTAGGTGCTGGCAATAACAAGAGACAATATATTTTTGATGCAGAGGATTTAACAGAATGTTTTCAGCATACCAGCCTATTGATGCAAGTACCTACACTGTCATTAAGCTCACTTGTTACCCAGAAGGAAAAGCAAATTGCAATTTGCATTTGGTACCTTCAGAATCAGGAATGAGAATGTGGCACATTTCAGTTTAAATGTTTATGTAATATGAAAGTAGAAAATAAACATATCATGAAAACAAACTTAGTAAAAATTTTCACAGCAATGACCTCTTGAAACATTTATTATTGTTTTCAAGGAACAAGTGGTATTTGGTTGACATAATCATAGTGGTTTACATGATACTGTTGACATTGCTATATCTACAGTGGTAAAGTTACTTATAATTTCAAAGTACTAGCAACATTGTTGTAATATTATTATGTAATGAAAGAGACCAGTTGAGACATGCAGATGTTGTTAAAATTGAAATATTTCATAATTATTTAAAATGAATTTCATATATACGCATATCATTATACATATGTGAGATAAAGATACAGTTTCGTTTAGAAGTTTGTTTACATCTTTCCACTGATTACTCCTCCCCAAGTAACTTTCTCAAACCCAAAACAAATAACGCAATAAAATACCCCCATTGAAACAGCTTCAGACCGTTCCTTTTACAGGAAAGATTTCAACTGACGCACATTTCACATATTACATCTATAGTTCCATCGTTTTATATTTCAAAACCATTTTACCTCTGTGCTCAGCTTTTAACATACAAAATCTTTCAAAACATAATATCACACTTTCCTCAACCGTGATGCGACCGTCAGGTCCTCCCATTTCAGTCTTCACCCATCCAGGGCTTACACCCGCCACGAGGATGTCATCTGGCGAAAGTTCCCTTGACATCATGGTGGTAGCAATGGCTGCGGCTGTCTTTGTCAAGACGTAGGAATAACGACGTTCGTCAGGTGACCAGAACTGGGATTTGATGAGGCCAGTAGACATGTTGATGATGGCTGCCCTGTTGCATCCTAGAGGAAGCGTTTCGTTTTGTTTGGAAGCAGTTCTCAGTAGTGGCACAAATGCTCGTGATACGAGAAGGAGACCTTGTGGGTAAAAATAAATATATAACGTCAACGTCAGTGTATAATCAGTCTCGGCTATCAGGGGAAACAGATTCAGTTGGGCGTAAGAAGGAAAAATAACATAAATTATATGAATGAATCACTCATAATCCGTGATGACACCAGGTGTTAGCGAAAAAGAAACATTCAAAGAGGTAAAACTCACTGTCGTTAAAGCTTCCAAATAGACATATTGGTATACTATTTATATTTTAAATACATTCTTTTGGTTAGCCCGCTTTACTAGAGGTGCTTGTTCAACCATTACTGTGAATGAATAAAGCTATGACGTCATTACTAATCGTGACGTTATGACTAGTATGACGTCATGGCAAATAGCGTCTGTAGCGGTTACATGTTCCATATATATATCTTCTATTCGTGTAAATATTTTATGATTTTTTTAAAATATCGCTCTTTGCGGTTGTATGTGTGGCAAGTTCTGGTTCCTCTGATATAAACTCGAGTACAGGCCAACAGGCCATATAGAACCAACCTTACCATCAAACAGCCACAAGCTCAGTTAAAAATACATTATAGAAGTGCAGCTTCACCGGAATCTAATATACTCTTTAGGCTTTGCTTATGTGAAAGTGATTCATGAACACATGCTCATGATCTAGTCGGAATCGTACAATCTATGCTGTTTTAGCCGATAATCCTTATTAGTATTGGACAGGGTTTAGTCAGACAGGAGACGATGTTGTAACGACTGTTGTTTCAATTCGCGACTTCATATGAACGGATGACGTCTGGTTTGTCTCAAAAGAGATGCATCTTCCCTTTGAATTGTCACACGAGGTCGCTTTGACAAGGGTCTTGACAACCTTGCAGAAGATCCCAACAATTAGTCGGATGCAACTCAATAATCCACAAACCAGTGATGGACACGCTGGGGTAGGAAAACACGCAGCCTACCATGTCATGGGGCCTGACCACCCGATCCTGTAGTCACTCTAACCCCAAGCATTGATTGCGGGGAATATTCACGGGGTTATTATATTATGGGGTGATCATGAGGTGAAATTGGGTTTAACGTCGCGTGTGTGTGTGGCTGCTTGTACTAGTCCGGACTGATGTCGATTGATAGTGCTAGCCCACTGAGATACCATGCGGCAGTTTAACATGAATACCCCACTCAGACACATTATACTGACTCCGAGCGGACCAGTCCTTGTTTTAGCCCCTTCTTGCCGAGCGCCAGGGAGGGTCACAACGAGTAGCATATTTTAACGTCTTTTGGTATGACGCGGCATCGCTCTCCGAGCGGATGCTCTACCACTAGACCACAGAGGCGGTCCTATTATATCACATGTGGATAACTGAAGGATGTAGCTAGAGTTAGTTACCGTGCCATATACATGTATTGAAATACATTAGGGATGGTGAGTTATCAAGATACCAAGAAGCATCCTTGTGAGTGAATGTTGTTGCCTTTATAGATTTTATTAACACGACTTTATGCTATCAGTGTAGAAAACATCCAGGTACAAGTGTTTCCCTGGTAGTGGTGTGTAGTCCTGATAACCACAAAACAAAAACATGTACCTTAAAACAACTAAAAAATTCATCCTTAATTAAACATGCATTTTTGATTATATAAATATCATTATTTGAAATCAGCAAAACAACCATTATAAAGTGAGGGGCAAAATATAGAAATTTAAGAGTTTAAATTTGATATTGTCTATTTGACCATTATTTATTCCTGCAACAGTTGAGAAAAGTTATTTGTGGGTGGGTAATTTTGTGTAACAATAAATTGGTTCAATGACGACTGGGATGTTTGAAATGTTGTAAATTTGTGCCGAAAAAAGCAAATTTAATTTTTTTTCAAAGTCAAGATGTCTACGCTATCAATTAGCAGTTCTGTTTTATGCGAGTAAAAATTATATGTAAATTAAATTATATTTAAAAAAATAAGACCCTGTACATCGATGTTGAAGTATTCTTTGAGTGCTAACTAACCGTCAGTACAGTTCTTTTTGTGGATATAATATCGTTTACTTTATGATAATTTAAATCGAAAATCAAACATACAATACAATTAACTGAGAGGTATAGTTTCTTTTGCCCCTCAGGTAATATATAGATACAAATCCAAAAATTCGTGCCTATGTTTAGGCTAGGCCGTACCGGTCTGATCAACACCTGTACCTGAGCTAAGGACCTATAGTTAGAACCGTACTTGGGGCACGGGTGGCCCAGTCGTCTGAGGCGCCGCGATTCGCTGTGCAGAGTTGCGTCCCTTGGACATGCCATGATTGTGGGTTCGAATCCCGGTTCGCCCCGATTATGTTTCTAGGTTTGTCAGCACCATACCCGTGCTCGTGGGTTTCACCGAAGTGGTAAACGTCTGAGACCTGCATCAGTTCGGGCTTTCCTCCCACATTAAGCTGACACGCCGTGATATAACTGGAATAATGTTAAAAGCGGCGTTAAACCCAACTCACTCACTCATTAGAACCGTACTGTGTTTAATGCGTATAACTAGACAAGGGTCACCTGGCCGTCCTAGCAAGTTTGATTCAAGTCGTTCAAACGTGCGTCTTTTAATTTAAACTCGAATGTTATTTCGTATTTCAATATTATATGTAGTTTTTAACATCGCAATAGTTGCCCATAGGGGCACGAATATAGGTGACATTATTCTCACAATTATCAATAAACATTGCTATTTTAGGTTTATGCTGATTGACTAGTTTGTTCCAATTGCCCCATTGTTTTCACAAATTTTTAGGCAAGTCACTAATTACAGCGTCAAGACAAGAAATGAACCCTACCGTGGCTCACAGTCCGCCTTTAACTATACTCAGTTATTATGTGTAAGATGTAAGATATTTACCTGCCACATTGCAGTCACAGTGACTCATGATATCATCCCTTGTCAAAGACTCCAGTCCATACAGCTGGGAGTTTATGGCTGCGTTGTTAATAAGCAGGTTTAACCCTCTCTGTCCCAGGACACGTTGTACTGTCGTTACGGCGTTGGCGATGTCAGCGTCAGATTGCACATCAAGTTTCACCAACGTGACAATGGGATTGTGTGAAGCCACATCTCTCAACTCTGTGGCCTCGTCGTTGTCAGGGTCGATGCAGGACGCAAACACGTGTTTGGGTGGGTTGGGAAGTTCCAGAAAGCCCTTCACAAGGCCAAGACCGACCCCCTTGCTGGTTCCAGTTATGAAAACAGATTCTACACACCTGAAATGTGACATAAATTTCAAATCTCTATTTGACTTTTAAAGGTTCCTTTTTTAAACTGTAATAAAGTACAAATTTTATACAGTCTACCTTTGGAATCTTGGATTTCTATTTTCTTGAAAATGAACTTTTGTATTATACAAGAGTTGTTTCAAAAGATAAACTCTCCTTTAAAAAACAAAAAAAATAATGACACTTTTCGAGTACTTATGAGTGAATTAGTATTGTTTTACGTCACATTTAGCAATATTCCATGTTTGATGCTGATGGGCATCTTAGACATCTTATCTTTGTAAATCAATAAATTTGCTTTTTCGGCACAAATTTACAACATTTCAAATAAGAAAGAGGGCATGTGTTTTTTTACCCGAGAATTCATTAAACCAATATATTTTTATATAATATTACCCAACCACAGATTACCTTGTGTAAACGTTTGCAGGAATGAGTGCTAGTTGAATTGACATCATCAAATTTAACAACAGTTCAATTTTCAATTCCATAAAACCAAACTCGGAAAACTTTCACTTGCCGCCCAGTCTATAAACAAACATTTCGGAACAATCTACAGTTTACCAGGCACATTCAAATCCTAACTCGTTGGTCAGCTCTTTAACAGTCGAAGCCCTGTTTTGCGTTCCATTGTTGTGAAATAAACAGCATATCATAACACTTTTCGGGATTTGTATAACTTCGCACCCTTAGTTATTATATAATCATAGCCAATATTTTATAATTTTAAGTTTTGCATATGTATATATAACGGAAACCTAACGTATCCACTACATACATCTGACATTTGACGTGTTTATCTTAACACACAATACTCGTTACATGCATGTGAATGTACACTATCTATTAAGTCTTACTGATGAAAACCCCATACCCCAGCTCCATGAGATTGAAATTATTTTTGCGTCCAGAAGTTTTTGTTCTTGACGTTTACGCTGCCGATAAATCTGAGGCTCTAATGTCCCCTAAAGTACTTTTGACGTGTGCTCCAGCTTGTATCTCCCCAAAAAGAAAGGGATCATGAAATTTTAAAGTTATGATCGGTCGTCAGAAGAAAGATCAGATTTGAAACAAGAAAACAGCGTTGTCACTATCCCACGCCACAGGGCACATTATTATTTTGTTTGTTCATATAGTAAAGAATATAAGCTACAAAAAATGTCATTTAAAGCATTAAGAAGAAATAGTCACTTGGGCCGCTTTATGCCATCAGAAAAAAATGATTAAATGTGAAATTAACACACACAAAAGAACCCTTCTCTGGAAAAACTAACTTAGCAAAACAGATCAAGTAGATATTCAGAATAATCGTTCAAATTGTGATACAAGCACAAAAAAATAACATTGGTACTGTTGTTGGACTTCTTGTTCGAAGTCCGTTTCACACCCGTTAATCACTTCAAACTTTACAATGGCGTCCAGTTTGCAGGATGGCCGTCATTTCCAATATAAATAAAGCTTTGCTTGTATAAATACAAACGACATCCATTGATCAACAAACATGTACATCTATCTTCTATGTACTTACAGTTCTGCCATGACTCTTAGCTTATCATGTGATTGTGAAGTGTTGCATGAGGCCATCACTACGGTCGCGTGTTTATCTTCAATGTGGTTCAGTGTCATGTAATCTCTGACCAACAAAGTATGTCATCGTGTATGCGTCCTCATGATAGTCGGACCACACATGTAGCCTGGCTGTGCTCGGAAAGGCCTGCAACACCGCATGAGAATTACAGGGAGGTCAGATCACACTATCTTAGTTATTTACCCACACAAGTCTATGTGACAATGATTTTCGATCCATGGGTACGGTGCATCAGTTACACCCTAAAACATACATAGTGTTAAGTGAGTGAATTGGGTTTTACGCCGCTTTTAACAGTATTACAGTTATATCGCAGCGTGTCAGCTTAATGTGGGAGGAAAGCCCGAAGTGATGCAGGTCTCAGACGTTTACCACTTCGGTGAAACCCACGAGCTCGGGTATGGTGTGGACAAACCTAGAAACATGATCGGGGCGAACCGGAATTCGGACCCACAATCATAGGTTTCTGGCGTGCCCAAGGGACGCAATTCTTCACAGCGAATCGCGGCGCCTTAGACAACTGGGCCACCCGTGCCCCCGCATAGTATTAAGGTCTTACCATTTGATAATCAAGGGAGGGGTAGGTGACTAATGGAAAGCAATATTTATTAAAAAGAATAATATTAGGCGAATTGTTTCAATTAAGCTAAACAAAATATCTGGCTTTGCACACAACACCAGTTTTACAAGCGTCCTCGTGATTTAACAATAATAGTTCAGGGTAAAACTATACTTTGTTATAGTCAAATGGGTTCTGTGCAAACTTTACACACGGCTTGTACTTGTCCTGGCTATAGCTGAGATACAATGCCGCTGTTTTACCGTGGCGAACGCTCCTTATTTTAGCACCTTATGACGAACAAAAACTATGTTGTAACGTCTCTTGGTATGACGCGCCCAGGGGGTCGAACCAAAGACCTTCCATTCTCAGAGCTCTTTCCGCTTCACCACAAAGGAGGTCGTTACATGTTGTAGTAGTAGTTGACTGTGTAACATCGGTGCTGTGTGCAAATGCAATGTAATTAGATCATGTGTCAATTTAGGTCCTCCAACTCCTGGGAATTCCCGATGACTTCCTTTAAGGCCATAAGATGGTCATTAGATTATCATCTTGATTTTCAGAAAATTCATTTTAATCCTGCATGCAAGACACTAATAAAGTGAACCACAGCTCTATAACCATACACATTATATGTAATTGTCAATAGTGATGGGTTTAACAACTCAAAGAACATTACGTCAAGTCCACACACACACATGGTGGTGGGATAAATATTATTTTAATAAGGGTAAAACATTGTTGGACTTATTGATACATTGTTGTTAAGTACATGAAGAATAAAATACAAGGCAGTGTACATGTCCAGATCAAAAGTATCATGGCTGCTCAATCCAGACGACGAGATGCGACATTTGCTCAATCCGTTGAATCTTTGCTGGTCGAACAGACAACAGACTAAACAAACTTCGAGCATGTGTTTATCTATGGAGATATATTCAGTATTATTACAGATTAAGATAAAAATATGAAGCAAAGAGGGTTTGGGTGATCCTGGCACAGTCGGGCTGGTTTGGCTCATCATCATCTCAGGGCCCTTGCCCCCTCTACACGCAGCCCAGACAGCGAATAGGACTTCTCCAAGGAATCGCTGTCTGGTCGAATCCACCTAGAACCTTTCGGAGAATGTGAAGACTCACCAGCACTGCAGCCTTCCTTCTGCACTACCCAGAGGGGCTGTATGCTATGTAGAAAACCCGGGTACTCTCCAAACAATTAACAGATTGGTAGGTAGCAAACCTTAGGCCCCGAGAACAATGGGTAATTGGACAACTATATATTTGCCATATTTGCATCCACTGACAATGTGTTTGACAGTCTCATTAAAGTCATTACATAATGTACATTTTGATGACTGTTTTGAATGGTAAGTGACTTCAGGTTGAATTTTCAGGCCAGCCGACTTGATGATCCAAGCGAAAGACTCTGCAGGGCTGCTGCTTTTCTCATAACACTGCACATAAATTCGATGCAGTGGTCGTCCACAAAGCTACTCCCTGAACAACTGAATCTTGTCTGATTTGACACGGCACTTCGCTTGGTTGAAATTCATTTTGACCATCCGGATTCACATGAGGATCATGAGACAAATAAATGTGTGCAAAAGTGAAGAATAAACGTTTGTCATGTAGAGTCTTCACATTTATAAAGCCACACCCTCCCATTATAATTTGAAAATATACGCGATTGAAGAAAGAGTGAGGGTGGTCGGATCTGTTGTCTTACATGATTCTTCGGGTGATGGTGTCAATACCCTGAATTTCTTGTTTCGCACCAAAAGAATATGAAAGGACGGGTGCAGCATACGAATTTGTGTCCTTGACTTTATTGTAATCGTTCAGCAGTGAACTCCAGATTTGATTAAGTCTACATTATATTTGTATTCTGCCTGAAGTGTTTCACAAGAAACCGCCAACTGACAAATTACATGGTAAAGGCATTATTCTCTAGAAGAATTATACCACAGTGTTCAACACCTAATATACCCAGTCTTTCCAAACATGATTTCACACTGTCCTCCACCGTGGTGCAAGCCTCAGGTCACCCCATATCAGTCTTCACCCACCCAGGACACATGCCCGCCACGAGGATGCCATCGGGTGACAGTTCCCTGGACATCATGACGGTAGCAATGGCTGCGGCTGCTTTGGTCAGTACGTAGGAAAAGCGACGTTCTCCTGGCAGTGAGAACTTTGATTTAACTAGGCCTGTTGACATGTTGACAATGGCTGCCCTGTTACATCCGAGAGGTTGTGTTTCGTTTTGTTTGGATGCTTTTCTCAGTAAGGGAAGCATTGCTTGTGATACGAGAAGCGGACCTTAAAATCAATACATAATGATAAACCATCAAGATTTTGGATTTATCCAGTAAAACAAAAAACCCAGTGAGTATGTGCATCGGTTTTAACGCCGCTTTTTAACAATATTCCAGTCATATCACGGCGTGTCAGTTTTACATGGGATGAAATCCCGAAGTGAAACAGGCTCCAGACGTTTACTCATTTCGTGAAACCCACGAGCACAAACCTAGAAACATGAAACAGGGATTCGAACCTACAAATCAGGCGTGCCCACGGGACGTACTTTTTCACATTGATTTGCGGCGCCTTAGACGACTGGGCCACTGTGCCTCCGGAAAAAAGAATTGATGTAGAACTTGGGTCATATAAACCTGTCAGACACCACATGAATATATAATTTTTGTAATTGTAAACCAGTGATTGACATGATGAGCAACGTCCAACGATATAGGGGTAGGAAAACACATATTTAAGCATGTCACACTGACCATCGGATCATTTAGTCACCACTTTCCACAAGCATTGGTTACTGTGAATCAACTCGGCGAATTATTTCAAGAAACAAACGTTCCCTTCTTGTACACATGTGGATAATTGAAACTGAATGATTTACCAACGGTATGCTATATCAATACATTAGGGTTGATTTGATGCGTTATTCAGATACCAACTTAACAAAAAACAAAAACATGCGTCCATGAACACACAATGCCATTGAGAAAGTGCTCACGTAACTTATGTTATATTTGGGATAACGCTTTCTTTGTAAAGTATAGATTCTGGTACCTTTTTTGGTTAAGTCCCGTCTGGGAGTCAGATGGGACTCGACCCACAAAAGTACGAGAATCTGTATTTTACTCAAAAACATCTAAAACACAAACTAAGGACTAGTTCGAATCATATTGTTTTACAAGCGTGGGGCACATTTACCTGCCACATTGCAGTCACAGTGACTCATGATATCAGCCCTTGTCAAAGACTCCAGTCCATGCAGCTGGGAGTTGATGGCTGCGTAGTTAATAAGCAGGTTTAACCCTCTCTGTCCCAAGACACGTTGTACTGTCGTCACGGCGTTGGCGATGTCAGCATCAGATCGCACATCAAGCTTTACCAAAGTGACGCTGGGATTGTGTGAAGCCACATCTCTCAACTCTACTGCCTCGTCGTTGTCAGGGTCGATGCAGGACGCAAACACGTTCTTGGGTGGGTTAGGAAGTTCCAGAAAGCCCTTCACAAGGCCACGACCGACTCCCTTGCTGGTTCCAGTGATGAAAACAGATTCTACAGATCTGCAAAGAATTCTGTATATATATTTGGTGAGTTTCGCTGCTTTTAAATGTCTGATTTGATCAACACGGAAAACAACAATATGGATCATATAGATTACTTAACAACATTAAAATCTGTAAACCCAAATATAGGTTTCTACAGGTAATATATTTGGTACATTTCACTCAAAGATTTCAATTTAAAGACTTTGAACTAACGTGTATCAGAATGCATTTATGATATTCTAAATTCGGAGAGGAATGGAAAACTCGATTCTTTGGAATTTAAAAATCATCAAACAATACTGAAAGAGAGTTCAGTTAGGTTCGGTTCTTACCGATGTTAAATTAATTTTTGCACTTACAGTTTTGACATGACTCTTTGCGTCTGATAAGGTCTGTAATGAGTGAAACTGATATGAATCACGCATCGTCTCGTGGCCGTGGTTGTCCACGCAATCTTGTTCACTGTCCTGCAATCTCAAGTCAAACAGATCTTGATACATGACAAGTATGTCACGTGTTGCGTCACAAATCAGGGAACGTCAAGCAATGTCGGTCGCGGAGTTGGATGGGAGACCGCGTTTTGCATCTTCACTGAGGGTTTTGAGGGGTTCGGCCCCGCACTGAAATACATGCAGTACATGTGGTGTCTCTTCAGGAAAGTGAGTCTGTTCACCAAGCGGTAAAATTGGGTACACGGCCGAATGAACTTCACCTGATTTCTGACCTGTACTCTCTGCACAGGACCACGTGCCACCACACGTTTCATATTTGCTATGTATCAGGATCCGTATAGCCTAAGATAGCAGGCTACGAGGCGACCCTTGTGTTATTCATATCAGGAGTATCACTCAAAACTGCCCTGATCAGACGCAAGGACAGAGAGGTGAGGTGGTAAGGTGAAATGGGGTTTAACGTCGCGTCCAAGATTATTGCACTTAAAAAGCGACGTGCATGCACGTGTATGTATGTGTGTGGCTGCTTGTACTAGTCCGGACTGATGCCGATTTATAGTTCTAGCTCACTGAGATACCATGCCGCAGTTTAACATGAATACCCAGTCAGACACAGTATACTGACTCCGAGCCGACCAGTCCTTGTTTTAGCCCCTTAATGCCGAGCGCCAGACAGGGTAACAACAAGTACCGACTTTTAACGTCTTTTGGTATGACGCGGTCGGGGATCGAACCCCGGACCTTCCGCTCTCCGGGCGGACGCTCTACCATTAGACCACGAAGGCGGTCGCAAGGACAGAGAGAATCATGATGTCAAAACTGTAAGTGCATCATCGGTAAGAACAGTCCCTAAATGAAATGTATTTTTGAACCAACCTGTCTGTGCTGAATTTTCCATATAAGGCCTGTCTAAAATAGTCGTGTATTCTGCTTCATTGACACTGACTCCTTTCGTTGCGAAGAAGCGACAGATCATATCTCTTGGGATCTCAAAAGCTATTCAGACCTGTTTGACACAAGCAGTTATGATGCTTCTCATTATTTTCATTCTATGACCAATGCTAAAGTCCCAGGAAAAACTGACTGAAAGACCAGTTAGGTGAAAGTATGACGGGAGAGTGCTTTTCTGGAGTGTAACCTATATTCACTTTTATGTAATTTTTTAGTTTGAAGTTAACACGATATACGGCTTTTCCATTGGACGAGAGGTCGGTCACATGACCGCGAAACTGACGTTCATAAGTGTATGCACGACACAGTTTGACGTTCATACGTTTTTCACGATATCGTGTTCTTGAAATGACGAAAACACTTACGGACTACTTCCACATTACGGGAAAACCCCTGGGAATTCCCTAGCACGAAAACATACATAAGCGTTCTTTCTGATCATTTAGAACCTTTATTCTTGGTCTCAGCCTTTCAGTATACAGTGAGAAATGTCAGAGAGCGTGACTGCATGATTGTTCACGAATATCCTCGCTGCATCCTATCCCGAGGAAATGCACATCTAAACTATCGTAGTATCGACTCAATCCGTGCCTTGGCTGACATTGACCGTCTCAAGCAATCTATGAATTTACCTTAGTGTCTGTTTGACGCATCTTTATTCGCCTTTCAATGATCGGCCAGTTGATCAATGATGACTAACACATGTAACCGCCACGGGTTCATTAGCAACTTCAGAAATCTCTCTCGTCACGTTTATCGGGTCGGCCATTTTGACGTCTTGTACTTGATGTAAATGTATTACGACGCGCTGTCATTGTTTGGCCCTCAATCTAGGACGGTTCATACTCCAATGAACTCACACAAAGTGAAGGTCAATTCTTAAATAATTTTTTTAATTTGAAGTTTACACGGCTTTTCCATTAATCGAGATGTCGGACACATGACCGCGACACAATTTGACGTTCATACGTTTTTCACGAGACTGTGTTCTTGAAATGACGTAAACACTGACGGACTACTTCCACATTCCTCGGGAAACCCCTTGAGATTCCGTAGCACGAAAACATACATAAGCGTTCTTTCTGATCATTTAAATCCTTTATTCTTGGTCTCAGCCTTTCAGTATACAGTGAGAAATGTCAGAGAGCGTGACTGCATGATTGTTCACGAATATCATCGCTACGGCCTATCCTAATGAACAAACGAGGAAATGCACATCTAAACTATCGTAGTATCGACTCGATCCGTGTCTAGGCTGACACTGACCGTCTCAAGCAATCTAGGAAGAATTTACATTAGTGTCTGTTTGACGCATCTTTATTCACCTTTCAATGATCTGCCAGTTGATCAATGATGACTGACACATGTAACCGCCACAGGTTCATTAACAACTTCAGAAATCTCTCTCGTCACGTTTATCGGGTCGGCCATTTTGACGTCTTGTACTTGACGCGCTGTCATTGTGACTGACTTACTGAGGTTGTTCTTTACAGAACTTTTGTCATCTAATGAGGATATGGTTTGATCACATGTGCTGCGTAAGATGTTTCTGAAGAGCAAGTAGTGCATCCATACGCTCATGTCACCTCTCTTTTTGAGGAACTGTTTTACTCCGTGATATAGCTGGTTGTTGTATGGCTGTCAGTGTAAACATAAATTCACACGCTCCGACATTCATACAGTTTGGCAACTTTATAAAGGTTCATACTCCAATGAACTCACACAAAGTGAAAGTCAATTCTTAAATAAAGGGAAAGAAAAACACACGGCCAAAGGTGTATCTTAAACAATAATTTAACACAATTCAGACATTACATGTACAAGGAATACTTCTCTGACCATGTATAACCAAAAGGCGCAATGCATCGCAATCAGAGTATCAGTCATCAACACTACAGCGTGAAAACAAACCAGGTCAGCCTCAGTCTATGGCTACATTGTGGAAGTTTTTAGTTTGAAGTTTACACGATATACGACATCTCCAATGGACGAGAGGTCGGTCACATGACCGCGATATTGACGTTCATAGGTGTATGAACGACACAACTTGACATGCGTTCGTTTTTGACGAGACAGTGTTCTTGAAATGACGTAAACACTGACGGACCACTTCCACATTTTTTGGGAACCCCTAAGAATTCCCAAGCACGAACAAATGCAGAAGCGTTGTTTCTCATCACTTAGACCCTTTAATCTGGAACTTAACGTTTTAGCATACATTGGGATAAGTCAGAGTGAGGTTGATTGCACGTCCGTATAATCGCTACAACCCATCTTAGAGAACAAAACAAAGAAAAGCACATTCAAACTATGGTATTACCGGCTCGATCCGTGTCTAGACTACAGTGACAGCCTACAGCAATATATGAATGTACCTAAGTATCTAATTGACACATCTCTACAATCACCTTTCAGTGATCGGCCATTCGATCAGTGATGACTAACACTTGTACTAGCCACAGGTTCATTAAAAACTTCGGAAATCTCTTCCTTCACGTTTATAGTGTCGGCCATTTTGACGTCTTTGACTTTATGTAAATGTATTACGACACACTGTAATTGTGACTGACTTACTGAGGTAGTTCTTAACAGACCTATCCCTTCCAATGAGGATATTATTTGAGTACATTTGTTTACAGACTACAAAAGTTGTCCTTGTTGAGCATACATATGCACATGTCACCTCTCGTTTTTAGGAACTATTTTATTGCGCGATACAGCTGGTTGTTTTATGGCTGTCAGTGTTAACATGCAGCCACTCGCACTAAATATAATTGTGTATAGATCAAGTTCTACGTCCTTTGGGGTGAAAATAGTGATATAATGAATTATAAGAATTGACTTTCACTTTGTCGCAAGCTCCGACGTCCATACAGTTTGGTCCTCACTCAATGAAGGTTCATATTCCAATGAATTCACACAATGTGGAAGTCAATTCTTTATTATTAGATACATCTTATCAGACCTTATTAGTACCTTAGCCCGTGGCAAGAACACAATCGAGGTGAAGACATGAATTCACAATGCCATTTAGAGAGTGGTCAAATGTAACAAATGTTATATTTGGAATAACATTTTCTTAGTAAAGTACAGATTCTCGTACTTTTTTGGGTTGAGTCCCGTCCGGGATTCGAACCCACACTGCTGAGTAGGGCACATAATCGCCAGGACCCGAAGTCATTTGTTAAGGTGACGACAGTGTTGAGCCAATATCCTTATGCGAGAACCATCTCATATTTTGTAATTGTCGTATGCATCTTGATCACTAGTAAATGTCCCATGTTGCTCCACGTCCTCAGACTCTGAGAGGTCTATATGGGACATAATGTCTTTGACAACGAGTTTCGTCCACAACATGATGTTAGTATATAGGGCACCTTGGTCTGTATCAGGATACATAAATCTCACTTTAATCCAGAATAGTTTTTAGATAGATTGGTAACTAAAGAAACACATGTAATGCATGGCTTTAGCCAATTGATCCTCAGATACCCGCCCAGCCCAAACCACTCAGCCATCAGAACCCCCGACAGACAGACAAACAGATTATTTCAATAAGCCCGTAATGAAATCAGTTTTACCGACTTAAAAGAAAACATAAGAACATGGAGAATTAAATTCTGGTACACTATCAGGGCTACAACAAGTAGGATTGTTTAACGTCTTTGGGTATGAGGCGGCCGGGATTCAAACTTCCGTCCGGGCAGGTGCTCTATCCACCGCACCATGGATGCGGTCTCAGCCTATAGTGTATGTTAGTATCTATAAGTATCATATTATAGCTAAAATGGATAAAATTATCATAAAAACGCCCGCATGTTATCAGAAATGAGCGGGCCACTGTAACTTGATAATGCCCCCATATTGCTTGACGACGGGCCATTATCACGCCTTCGTCGGGCAGTTAATGGAAGACCTCGGGCTTCTGCAAATGATAATGATAATGCCCTGAAAAATAGCGTTACCCTTATATTATTAAATGTCTTGTTTCGTCCTTCAAGGTCTGTTGAATCGGTTTTCATCACTGGAAGCACTGGATCTGTATTGTTGTGTTCCGTGTTGATCAAATCAGACATTTAAAAGCAGTGCAACTCACCAAATAGAGTAGTATATAAACACAAAATTTGCAGATCTGTAGAATCTGTTTTCATCACTGGGACCAGCAAAGGGGTCGGTCTTGGCCTTGTGAAGGGCTTTCTGGAACTTCACAACCCTCCAAGAACGTGTTTGCGTCCAGCATCGACCCTGACAACGACGAGGCCACAGAATTGAGAGATATAGCTTCACACAATCCCAGCGTCACGTTGTTGAAGCAGGATGTGCGATCTGACGCTGACAT